GCATGCAAGTGCCTACCTATATGTTTTGGTCCCAATATACCCACCCAAAATGTTATTTCCTAACACCTTCCTCTGACCATGCTACCCTTATGATGATGGGCTTTTAACAATGAAGGAAATGATGAGGGTGAAGGTGATAAAAGAACAGACATCACAACTATTATTTTTCAGGGATATATTTCTGACAGCTTTAGGCTCTTAAACCCTCAAATCCTATGCAGAAATAATGTTAGATATTTTCCCTTTTTAAGAAATGAAGACCCACACATATGAACAAAAAAATGTAAGATTAGAATATAGAAGAGGGCCTATTTTTACTCTAAAAATGAGCATTCCCTTTTTTATCATGATTTTCCTGTTGTTTTTTTCTGCCTGGAAGGCTCTCGTCTGCCCAAGCTCATATGACACCTTATCTATGAGAAGTTCCTTTATCCCTTCCACCAGAATTATATTTTTCTTATCTAGATTTCAAATAGTTAAATCAAATCATTTCCACCTTTTACTATTGCTTCTCCTATTATTTAGATTAATAACCATAATAGTTTATATTTGTTGAGTGCTTCCTATGTGTGATATCTCACTAATACTTCTAACATTGTCGGGAAGGATCTTGTTATCAATTCATTTCAAAGATTAGGAAACTGAGGCTTAGAGAGGTGAAGTCATTTGCTGAAGGTCAAAAGCCAGCAAGAGGCAGGGTCAAGATATAAATCTTAATGGTTTAACTGCAAAGCCCATTATCTACTACACTGATTCTTATAACAACTCACTATTCACTGAGTTAAGATTCTCTATCCTGTTTTTGTTTATATATATATATATTTTTTTCTTTTTTATCTCCATCCCATTATTTCTTATTGAAATTATTAATTTTTTAAAAATATTTCTTTATTTATATAAAAGGTACAGTGGTGAAGAGACAGAGAAAGAGGTCTTCCATCTGCTGGTTCACTCCCCAAATGGCTACAAATGGCCAGTTCTGGGCTAGGCTAAATCCAAGAGATCTGAACTCCATTCTGAGTCTCCCAAGTGGGTGGCAGGAATTTAAGTACTTTGTTGCCATTGTCTGTTGCTTTCCCAGGAGCATTAACAGGGAGCTGGATCTGAAGCAGAGTAGCAGGGAGTTGAACCTGCACTCTGATATGGGTTGTTAGTATTGCAAAGGGCAGCTTAATTATCCCACAGTGTTGGCCCTGAGTTCTATTAAATTTGATACAGATTAGTCTTAGTATTATTTACTCATGCAGACCTGACTTTTCTTAACAACAGAAACTAATCCTTTCAAATAAATAAATATAGGATGCCCTCATATAGAAAAAGTAGGAATTACCAGAAAAAGATAATATGCTATTTTTCTTTAGATTCATCTTCAGCATTTAATATAATTTTTATTTTATCAAGTATGACTGACATACTAAAGCTTACATGTTTCCAACATTTTGGAGAAAAATAATTTTGATTAAATATAAGAAAAACTTATCTCAATTTATTCTATATATAAACAGTAACAAATGTCTACTTTTAGGACATAAAGAAACACTAAAATTTAAAGAGGTCTGGCAACAGAAAAGACATTTCAACTGAAGTATAAAAATATTTAATAGCTGTCAGAAAATTGGTCAAAAAATAGGAGACTAAAAAATCTTTCAAATTCTTTAAATACTTTCAAATGTATAGAAGAGTTGCAAGAATAAGAACAGTACAAAGAACATCCTTGTATCCTGTACCCAGACTTTTTGCCAACATATCCATGAAAGAGAAATAGGTATTCTTTTTTTTTGACAGGCAGAGTTAGACAGTGAGAGAGAGACAAAGAGAGAAAGGTCTTCCTTTTTCCATTGGTTCATCCCCCAAATGGCTACTATGGCTGGCACGTTGTGGCTGGCACGCTGTGCCGATCCAAAGACAGGAGCCAGGTGCTTCCTCCTGGTCTCCCATGCGGGTGTAGGGCCCAAGGACCTGGGCCATCCTCCACTGCCCTCCCGGGCCACAGAAGAGAGCTGGACTGGAAGAGGAGCAACCAGGACAGAATCCGGCGCCCCAACTGGGACTAGAACCCGGGGTGCCGGCGCCGCAAGGCGGAGGATTAGCCTAGTGAGCTGCGGCAACGGCTGAGAAATAGGTATTCTTGTAAGTCATTGATATTTAAAGGTTTCTGGCTACTGAGATGTATGTTTTTGAAATATCTCACATATTCATGTAAACTCACATGTATATGTATATATATACACACACACACATATCACATGCATACTATATCATTTTTACTCAAACATTTGAGGATAGATGTATTCATCATGGTCCTTTATCCCTGAACACTTCAGTATTTCCCAAAACTTATTACACAAACCACACTATGGTTCAAAGTTTTATATTGATTCAATACTTTCTCATCTATATTCCAGTTTTGCCAATTTATCCAATTATGTTCTTTACAGCATTTTTCTCATTCCAGTATAGGATCCAGTCTAGGATTAAGTATTGCATTTAGTTTTCATGTTTCTTTAACTGCTTTTAATGTAGAACATTCTATTGTCTTTGCTTCAAAATGGAATTGACATTTCTTAAGAATATAACCCCTAACATACATACATTTAAACAAACAAACAAACAAACAAACAAACCTTCCCTCATGCTGCTCACTCATACTTAGATTCAATCTGTACATTTTTAGGCAGAATACTGTACATGTGATGCTGTGCTCTCTTCAGGGTATTGCATTTAAAGTTACACAATGTCCATCTGGTCTTCAATGGTTATACCAATTCTGAGTATCCACTGACTTTTCTCTGATCTTTTACTGTATAATTACTATTTTCCCTTTTGTAATTAACAAGCAGCCTCTAGAGAGGTACTTTTAAACCATACTTGTATTTAAAAATTCTGCTCTTCATCAAAGTTTCCCCCTAAATTTAGCATCTGATGATTTATACCTAATGCAATCTTTACTAAAATGCAAAATGCTGACTTTCAAATCTGGCAGCCTCTCCACAGTTACTGGTCAGCACTCAACATTCTGCTATAAGCAAGAATACTCCTTTTCTCATGTTGATTAATCAACCTATTTACTAATGATATGACTTAACATTTTTCAGTTATTTATAGTTTATTACTATACTCAATTATCTCAGTGCTTCCAAGATTTGGGTCAGTGTAAGTCCCTTCTAGCTAGTTCCCTAATAGGAAGTCCCCATCATTGTGATCACTTCCTAATTTTCTTGTACAGATGTTTCAGATTCATTTTGTACTTACCATCTCCTGGCCTTGAAGTCAGTCATTTCTCCAAGGGTTCTGGGTTCTTTTTAAGTTGTGAGTGGTATCCTAACACTTAAATACACTTTGGTGCTCACTACATTCAGGTCTTCTTTTAATTTTGCAAAGTTGTCTTGGATTCTAATTCCAACTATTAGTGTTATTTAGTTGCTATCATTGGTGTCTTCAAAAACTTAGTTTGTGAATTCACTTTCACTTTCTTGGTTTTGGCTTCAATGCCTTGTCACATGAGTATATTCTTTGTTGGCCTTGGGCACCTTGCAAAATTTAGTTTTCATTTCTGATATATGATTTTGTCATTTATTTCTATTTCTTTCCTAAGTTGTATTAACTATAATTTCATTGCTTTCACCATTTTGGTCAATTACTACTTTTCAAAAATTTCCAATTTAAGATCTTTCTTAGTTTCAAAAGCTTATTTGAGGATATTTAACTGAGTTTGTAATGTTACATTATAGTTTTCTTAAGTTTCATGATTCAATTGTTTTTGGAGAGTTTTCACCAACAGAAAAGCTTTAATTCTCATCAGCTGACTTTTGCATTTGTTTTATAATGATGGGAATAGAATTTTTTTTGTTCTTTTTTATTTCATAGAGTTCTTAGTTCAAGAGCACCCTCTTCTGTGCAGTTCTTTTATGACTAATTTTATTGAGGGTCATGGAGGTTGAGTGATATAGATTTGTATGTCTTTTTTTCTTTTCTTATTTCTGCAAGATCCTTAATTTTCCCCTCTTATTTCCTTCTCTCCCATCACATCCTAGACTCCATAGGATTCTACCCATCCTAAGTTAATCTGACTCCTCTCCCCCGCCGCCCACCAGCACCAAGCAGCAGTGATTCTCCAAGGTTGCCACTGTGCACACCCTTTCAGGTCATTCTTGCAGCCAGTGTGGAGAACCATCAATTCCTGACATATATTCAGTATTTTGGCATTTATTGCTACACTTTTGGGGGTGATTTTGTTTGTATTTTATCTAATTCCTCTGTTACTGCCTAGTCTTTATCATAGTTTTTTAAGACTTCTACTCTGCTGCTTTCTACAGCTCAGGTTTCAGCGGCAGGTGAACAGTAGAGTGGCATTGGATTTTTTTTTTTTTATGCTATTTGTAAGTACTTTGAAAGTTGTGGCACTCTCTGGCACAGTCATATGAAGATATGGGACCTGTACAATTCTATTTGCTTTCTTTGTTGATTTTATATTTTCTTCAGGGACAGAGTGAGGGAGATCCAAAATGAAGCAATCAATATTGATCTCTAACAGTGCTTCTTCACTCTTTCCCTGTAATTAATTTATTATTTTTACCTTTATTACATGATGAAGCCATTATATATTTGTTTTAAGATAATTCAAATTCATAATTTTTACCAGCTAAAAGTAAAAGATGCTGTATCTTGTTTTCTTTCTTTTCCTTTAAGAAAATGAGGTAAGAGTAATAAAATAAAAGGGAGGAAAGGAAGAAAAGGAGAAATTAAAGAGTAAAAATAAAAAAGTAAAGATCAATGGCAACTGGTCATTGGGCATACAGTTATCTGATTTTGAAAGCAATTTCAAAGATGGTTTTTAACATTTCTTTGAGTCATAATAGCAGGATTTCAGCACAAATATAGTTTACAAAGTGACTGTTTTTGAGATCAATACTATTTTGTACTGTATTTGCATTACTAAGGTCTGTACCTCATATGCTTGTGTACACATACAAACACACATTTACACAAGAGGTACTTACTTGTTTTACATTCTGGAGTTCTTCTGCCAATTGTTTCCTTTGCCTCTCTGATTCAAATAGTTTTTCCTACATTTAAAAACCAATAAATTAATAAGTTGTTATGAAGGTATCAATAAGTATGATTTTTTGTCCTTTGTTTCAAAGCTTATATATTTCCCAGACATCAAATTGCTATAATTAAAAAATGTAGACCTCAGTAAATTTTATGGCTATAGACATACCATTTTAAAGTAATTATCTTCAATATAATTGTGATATCAATGTACTTTTTGTTCTCTCAATTTTGTAAAATCTCAAAATCTGATTTCAAAAAGAAGTCACCCAGGATCAAATGTTTAAATATCAAATAAATTCTGGAGCTACTATCACCGAAGAGCTTCCAATGTAGCAGTATCTTTATTAGAAGTTAGAAGTAAAGGTCTTTAACTATGCTAAAGAGGGCACATGAAACTAGACTGCCTATTAGTCTTCTAATTTTAGTTTATTCTTAGAAGATTATCCATAACATAGAAGATTAGTATAACTGATATATAAAATAATACTTAATGAAGTAGATGAAAGTTATGAATCTAAGTAAGATGTTTTCATTCTTGAACTTAAAATCAAGTCAAGCATATGCCCTTAAATGTCCAATTTTGTTGAGTATATCTTTTAAAAATTCACATTTTATTGGTTAAATAAGAAATATTGGCCAGCGCTGCGGCTCACTAGGCTAATCCCCCGCCTTGTGGCGCCGGCACACCGGGTTCTAGTCCCGGTCGGGGCGCCGGATTCTGTCTCGGTTGCCCCTTTTCCAGGCCAGCTCTCTGCTGTGGCCCGGGAATGCAGTGGAGGATGGCCCAAGTACTTGGGCCCTGCACCCCATGGGAGACCAGGATAAGTACCTGGCTCCTGCCATTGGATCAGCGCGGTGCGCTGGCTGCAGTGCGCCTGCCGCGGCGGCCATTGGAGGGTGAACCAACGGTAAAGGAAGACCTTTCTCTCTGTCTCTCTCTCTCACTGTCCACTCTGCCTGTCAAAAAAAATAGAACAAAAACGGAAAAGGAAAAGGAAAAAGAAAAAGAAAGAAATATTAAGAGTAATTATGAGCCATTTTACTATCAATTTGAACAGAAGAATTGCTTCAACCTTAAGTGAGTAGTAAAGGTTCACAGCAACATTGCAATGTTTACAAAAGGCAATCTGCTTTCTAGTTATTTCAGCTCAATCTTGTCTAAGAGGTGAAATGAAAGTATATGAAGATGAATGTAATATAACAATCTAATGAATATGTCACAGACAAGGAGCCAAGAGACTGCTGGCTCCTATGTTTTTATGTTCTGGCGAGTCACCTTCATTCTTGGTGCCCTACTTTTTGCATCTGTAAATGGAAAATATATCTACTTTCATTCACCTTTGCAAAGTAGTAGCAATGTGAATTTTGAAGAAAGAGTTCATGTTAAATAAACACAGTGGTTTAAAAACTCATTTTTGCAAAATAGAAATTAGTCAATGGCATACAATTATCTTGGTTTCATTTTTAATTTGTACCTTAAATCAGACATGAATAATAACAAGGCCACAGGATAATGAAAAGTGATGAGAGATCATCTACATAACCTTCACTTAATAACCTGCCATTTCATGTGTATGTGTATAATACATGTAGAAACACTGCAAATATAAATGCTACCTCAAATAAAATACTTATTATTTTGTACACTGTCTTGTATACTTCTTTAAATAATTCTTAGCCCATAGGTAGGTTTTGGTGTGAAGGTAATTATAAAATGTAGAATTTGTTTTATTTGAGATTTCAGGTATTTTTCACATTAGGATATTTTTAGTTACATTTCATGAACTTTAAAGGTGAATGCTAATTTATCAAATGATTCCTCAGGGAAGCCTTATTCAAATGTTACATGAGCATTCTATATAAAATTTTAAATTAAAATTCTAATAGTTAAGATTTATATTCAAGCCGGCGCCGTGGCTCAATAGGCTAATCCTCCACCTTGCGGCGCCGGCACACCGGGTTCTAGTCCCGGTTGGGGCGCCGGATTCTGTCTCGGTTGCCCCTCTTCCAGGCCAGCTCTCTGCTATGGCCAGGGAGTGCAGTGGAGGATGGCCCAGGTGCTTGGGCCCTGCACCCCATGGGAGACCAGGAAAAGCACCTGGCTCCTGGCTCCTGCCAGGATCAGCGCGGTGCGCCGGCTGCAGCGGCGGCCATTGGAGGGTGAACCAACGGCAAAGGAAGACCTTTCTCTCTCTGTCTCTCTCTCACTGTCCACTCTGCCTGTCAAAAAAAAAAAAAAAAAAAAAAAAAAAGATTTATATTCAAATAAAAACTTAAATACATCATTAAATTTAATAATGACGAACTTTAAGGAAATAAAAAACACCTAAGAGCCTCTGAAAGTTCTGATAAATAACAAGAGCAAGTGGTTCACACAGAGATAAATCATATAAAAATGCTATCACATTGAGGTTGTCAACACTGGCTAAATTTTCCAATAGAGTAAGACGAAATGATTGCTAATTAAACTCTTCATTATTTTCTTTAAAAATATGGAAAGACAGTGGCTTTGAGAATACATATTTAAAATATTCCTGTAGTAGTGGAATGTTCTTATACATCTGGAAGGGGTGTAAATTGCAAAGACTTTTCAAAGGGAATGTGGTAATGTATATAAAAGTTTATATGTTTATATATTTTAATAAAGCAATTCTACTTTTAGAGATTTATTCTGTGTATATACTTGCACAATTACTCAAAGATACACCTACAAAGCTGTTAAAGGTAGAATTAATCATCAATAAGGAAATGACCAAATAATTTGGAATAGTATCTTTAAAAATATAGGAGGGCCATTCAGAAGAATATGGGAGATCTGTATATATTTACCCAAAAATTATATAACTGTAACACTGAGAAAAAAAGGCAATTTTTTTTAAAAATGTGAGTGTATGAAATAATTTATGTAAAGTTTATATTTATTTATTTATTTACTTTTAAAGACTTTTTCAAAAAGAGAGCTTTATGTTCACAGCAAAATTGAGAGGAAGGTACAGATCTTTCCCATATACGCATTCTGCACACATTTATTTTTAAAAATATGATGGGCTGTGAAAAGGAACTTTCTGAAAGGTTAAATATGATATATATATATATATATTTTTTTTTTTTGACAGGCAGAGTGGACAGTGAGAGAGAGAGACAGAGAGAAAGGTCTTCCTTTACCGTTGGTTCACCCTCCAATGGCCGCCGCGGCAGGCGCACTGCAGCCAGCGCACCGCTGTTACCCAATGGAAGGAGGCAGGGAATTTATCCCGGGCCCCCCATGGGGGGCAGGGGCCAAAGGAATTTGGGCAACCCTCCCAAATGCATTCCTGGGCCAAAGAAAAAAGTTGGCCTGGAAGGGGGGGAAACCGGAAAAAAATCCGGGGCCCCGGCCGGGAACAAGAACCCGGTGTGCCAGCACCGCAAGGTGGAGGATTAGCCTAGTGAGCCGCGGCGCCAGCTTAAATATATTTTTATCAATGGTGTCTTTCAGAGGTTGGAGTAGTTAGACCAAGGTAGGAATAAAGTTTTCTTTTTATTATAAAATTTATTTTAATAGAAATTCAATAATTAACAATAGAATTTCACTTTTGTAGTCAGAAGCAAAAATAAATATTCCTGTGTGAATTAATGGTAAATGAAGTAGCCGGCGCCGTGGCTCAATAGGCTAATCCTCCGCCTAGCGGCGCCAGCACACCGGGTTCTAGTCCCGGTCGGGGCGCCGGATTCTGTCCCGGTTGCCCCCCTTCCAGGCCAGCTCTCTGCTATGGCCCAGGAGTACAGTGGAGGATGACCCAAAGTGCTTGGGCCCTGCACCCCATGGGAGACTAGGAGAAGCACCTGGCTCCAGGCTTCGGATCAGCATGGTGTGCCATCCGCACAGCGCTGGCTGTGGCGGCCACTGGAGGGTGAACCAACGGCAAAGAAAGACCTTTCTCCCTGTCTCTCTCTCTCACTGTCCACTCTGCCTGTCAAAAAAAAAAAAAAAAAATGGTAAATGAAGTAGTTATGCTGCCTTTCTTGAAGATTTGGAAAATATAACAGCTTTCTGTAAAACTGTAATTTAAATGTAATATTCTACTAAAAAGAACGCAATTATATATGGAGAATCAAAATTTTTTGGTATATTTGGCACATGTGTATTTCTTCCTCCTTTAAATCATATTATCTTAATTCTAAAGTACATTAGCAAACCATGATGTCCCTTAAGTATGGCCTTACCCAATTAAAAAAATGTATTTCCCAATGAACATAAAAGGATCGAAACTGTCACTTCTTGTTTCAATGGCTCCTCACCTAATTTGGTCCTTGTCACCAACAAGAGAGAAAAAAGGTTGAGAGGTAGCCAGATAAGAAGGCGTAAGCAAAAATCACTGTTCATACTAAATCTGACAAGGATGTTGTGAAGTACAAATAAGTGTGTGAGCCACCTAAAAACTAACTGAACAAAGAATTTTATTTCATATTAATATTTCTTCATTAAAAATAAAACCAAGCCCAAATACATCAGAATTCAACACAGGATTAATTATTCTTTTTTTTTTTTTTTCAAAAAGAACTTCTATATAAAGAAGATAAATTTTAGGTTACCTTGAGTGTGTTCACTTCTTCCAAGGCATCATTTCTTTCATGCTGAAGCTTTTCCATTTCATCTGCTTCTAAAGAATCACAGGGAAGAAGCTGTCAACATTAAAATACAAGAGAAAAGTTTTGCATTAGATGCTAATTATGAGAACTAACACAAAATCCTTTGAGACTAGCCTCAGTGTTTGCACTCTAATAACAAAATGCAGTTTCTAACTTTTCAGTTATTTGATTAGATAAGAGAGAATATAAATCGGGAGCAATCTTATTCATTTAAGCTTAACCTTGTTATTTGTACCAGAATTGAGATAATAATAATAAGATATATATTATTTTGTTACCTTTATGATTCCTAACAATACAATTTTCCTTAAAAGTCCAAATTCTAAGACTGTTCATAATATCAAAAAACTTAAGAAATTAATTAACACCACAAACTATTCCCTAGAGATATTCATTCCAAGAGCGTTATACCTAAGGCTAACAAAATCAAGGTTGTTTATATGAGCCCAATAAAATACTCATCAATTATGCATCTCGTTTGAACTATATGAAACATAATAGAACAGCCAAGTAGCTTAAAAAAGATTCCTACATAGGAACTGTGGGCAAACTTAGTGTAAATGGTCATGTACAAGTGAATAGCAACAAAAAATAGCAGGTATGGCAATATCTCTTATGTCTAGCATGATCTGTTTGACAGTCAACACGAGGTAAAAACCAATGGAATCTAATCAGAGATAAAATCCAAGTCTAACTTCTCTATGAGAGATATAAAAGAGCTAGAAAGTATGGAAAATAGAAAGGATTAAGTGGAAAAAGTGATTGGTATGTAAGTGTGTGCTTACAGTAGGACCCTCTAGGTAAAGAAGCGAGTATAGTTTATGAAAAGACAATATAAATAATATTAAGCATTATTAGAAACTTGATCATATGCAGATGTACTGCTAAGAACTATATGTATTCAATATTGAAATAGCCCTGTCTCCATTTTATGATGAGGAAATGAGCACAGACAGGTTAGCGAAACTTGCCTAAGGCTTCACAGCTCACATATGACCATTAGACTGCCAGAGAGGTCTGACCCCATGGTCTGTGACTTTACTAACTATTCCACAAAAACCATGGTAGAATGAACGTAACTAACTCGGATTTGCTTGGTGAACTTTAGGAGTCATTCTTTAAGTTTGGGAAGACATTTTTTCTCTCAACATTACTATTTTCTTTTCTCCTACCATATTAACTTTTGGGTATCTAAAGCCATTATCCATAGTTTATGTGATCTCATATTCTTCATCTGTTCATTACTCGACAAAGAAGTACTCTTTAACAAACATAGTCATAAGAATCAGTTCCTATATTGTCCTAGATTTTGAACAGATTTTCAAAAGTAACAATCTTTCTAAAAGTGTGCTACAAAGGATATTACACTATTGCTTTGTAAAAAAGAAACTTGGATGGTAGTGGTATAGGCTTTACAAAATATTAACATTCTTTCCTACATGGTCTCCAACAGCTTTATTATGTTAATAAGCCTATGCATTCCAAATAAGAACTATAATTTAATGACTTCTACCATTTCCCCACCTATTCACCACATCACTTTAAAAAATTGTTTTGTACTAGTTCAAGGAACTTACATCTGCAGCACACGATATGGGAAACACTGCTATTCAATATTGAAATGGTTGGATTATACATTTTATTATTATTTATTTATTTAATTTATTTGAAAGGTGGAGTTGGGGGGGGGAGGGAGAGAGAGAGAGAGAGAGAGAGGTCTTCCATCCGATGGTTTACTCCCCAGATGGCCACAAATGCCAGAGCTGCACTGATCCGAAGCCAGGAGCCAGGAGCTTCCTCCAGGTCTCCCATGTGGGTGCAGGGGTCCAAGGACTTGGGCCATCTTTTACTGCTTTCCAAGGCCATAGCAGAGAGCTGGATTGGAAGTGGAGTGGCCGGGTCTCAAACCAGCACCCATATGGGATGCCAACGCTTCAGGCCAGGGCATTAACCCTCTGTGCCACAGCACCGGCCCCCCATCATAATTTTAGTTGATTTGTATCAACTCTGGAAAACCACTATTCCACTGGCCACATTTCCCCACCTTAATTAATTTTAAACAGAACAATAATTTCTGTTTCACTCTAATTTTTTATAAGGCTTTTCCTCAGGAACCCATTTGATTATCTTCACTCCTTATAAAATTGTGACTGTACTACCCTACTCACCTATCTGCATATACCAATTACCTTCTTTAAAAGCACACTACTCTGCTTACAACTTACAATTTTTTTTTGGTTCATGCTAAAATATAACTCTTATTATTCCTTACTTACCTCTCAAGCAGACAGAATCCCACTTAACCTTCAAAATTCACTCAAATGCCAACTGTGTTAGGAATCTTTTCTGAATGTTCAATTACTATTATGCCCTTATCACACAATGCGGTTTTACCAAAATTATTTGTGTCCACGACATTTCCTTAGAGTAAATAGTCGAGTTTTATCTATCCTAACAATATGTACTACAGCACTTAACACAATGCCATGCATACTGTAGTTATTCAATATATATTTGGTGTTTTACAGGTGAGTCTTAAGGAAAGTGGTTATAAAGCGTTTACTGTCACACATACAAATGCCATTGATATCACATCTCAGTACAGGTTGAGTATCTCTAATCCAAAATACTTGGGACTGTAAGTGTTTCAGATTTTTAAGTTTTTCAGATCTGGAATAAAATATTCAGATTTTACTGGTAGGCCATACACTAATCCAAAAACCTAAGTGAACCAAATCTGAAATGATGTGATGTGATACTCAAAATATTTGGATTAGGGATGCATGACCCATATGAGTGAAACACTACTCAGTCTTATCATGTACAAGTCACTTTGATATTGTCCATTCTATGTTATTTCTATTGTTAAAATGGTGATTTGCAATTCACAGAATTGAGTTAACAAGAGTCCAGATTGTGAATCTGCAGTGTTCTCTCTGATTTTAGGATAATCCATTCATGACACTTGATTAGTCTGGTAAAACCATTATAGTGTGATGGACTACAATCTGCTGTTGTTAAATTTAGATTACTGCTAAATGTGGGTTCCAACCTTGCCATTTTAGTGTATAACCTTGTGCCAGCAGCAGGTGTAGCAGTATGTGGAATTTTTAATAGAGCAATGTTGACTGAAATCACAATCAGAAAATTTTATTTTCTGTTCTAAATGCCATATTCTTCTGAACCTAAAAGTTTTGTAAAATAAACAAAAGCAGGGCTGATTTATACCTACTTAAAGAATAGCATTTCAAGAAATCTTAAGAGCGATGAACAAAAGTGACAGAGTGATGAACAAAAGAAGCAAGTTGCATAAGAGTACATACTCTATGATTCTATTTATTGTGAAGTTCAAGAACAGATTTTTTCTATTACAATGAGTCTTCTCTATTTCAATAAAAAAATTTTTTTTTAAATTAAGCCATCTTTACCAACCAAGAAGAAAAGAAAATGAGCACAGACTTGACTCTGTTGTTTGTGAAAATGAGATGGTTAAGGAGGTAACCATCGTGGAATTTCCCCACCTGCACAGCCAGTCAGTATCTTCAACCACAACTGATATGCTTCAGATAAAGCAATACATTGTTTCTTAACACAAGAAAGATGGGGAATTACATCATAAAATAATTTTCTTTTGTTTTTTGGTGAACCACATGACAAGCAGTGATTTCTATAGTGTTTTTTCAAATTGTAACACATCATCTATTAGTGAATTCTGAAACTAAGGTTTTAATAAAATATAACTGAATATTAAATAGGAATATATAAATGCAGAAAAGGCAAGTAATGCTTTGAGGGAACCTGTTTCAGTTATATATGTGAGTATGGGGAAAAATGTATTCTTTTGTAGATTAAAGAAAGAGAAATAAAAAAAGAGCCAAGACTTCAGAGCCTATCTTCTATGTGTTGACAAGCAGAACACAATATAAGAAATTTTAAAAGTTAATATAGTGGTTATTGCACAACATTTTGATCTGAAGCCACAAACAGGAAATTATGGGCATGTAGAACATTTTATACTAATGCAACAGCAAATTGCTTTTGCTATCAAAGTTTCACAGATTAAACACCTTCCTATCTACCCTAAAATCATACTGGCAAGAAGGAAGTAAATCACTAATTTGGAGCATAAGAATCTCTTTGCAGCTGCTAAAAAAGCTCTGCATGCTCCTACAAAGTACTCTGAAATCCCCACTTCATGGGCATGTTGTAAGCTACTCAACCATCTTTTCCCTGTCTCATCAACAATGGGTATGGTAGCTTAAAGAAATATCTGGCAGTAACGAAACAATGCTCTGCTGTCAACACCCAAATCAGCAGGAAGAAAACTATGCTCTCATACAGTCTTAATTCTCCTCCACCAAATGTACAGAATTTGTCCTGACAAATAAGTGCCTGTGAATTCTGGGAGGAGGTGTTCTCCATAGAGTTACCAAAATGGTGAGGTCTTTGGGTGATTACAACTGGCAATTTACTTAGCAGTAAAAGATTGCTTATTAAATAGGATAAAGTAATACGAAACATTAAAAAAGAGACATACATAATTTTTTAAATCAGTGGATCACTTTTTTCTCTAATAAATTGCATACTTACATGCTGCACTTTGACAACTAAATTAATAATAATATTCAAACTTCATGCAAAAAGGCATATTACTTGAAAACAGTGGACCACCATATGAAATAAAAGTGCAATTTGATTTCTAAATTTGAACTAGAAGAAGAAATTATCAGAAATATTTATTTATGCCCTTGCTTGAATTTATGGATTTAAAGTAGCATTCACTGTACTTGACCATCCATATTATAAAGAATATTTGAGGAGCCGGTGCTGTGGTGCAGCAGGTTAAGCTGCCCTCTGCAGCACCTGCAATGCATACAGGTGCCGGTTTTGAGTCCCAGCAGCTCCACTTCCAATCTAGCTCACTGCTAATGTGTCTGGGAAGGCAGTGGAGGATGGCCCAAGTGCTTGGGCTCCTGCACCCTGTAGGACACCTGGAAGAAGCTACTGGCTCCTGGTTTTGGTCTTGCCCAGTTCTAGCTGCTGTGGCCATCTGGGGAGTGAACCAGCAGATTAAAGATCTCTCTCTGTAATTCTGACTTTCAAATAAATAAACAAATCTTTTTTTAAAAGTAATATTTGAAGACAAAGAAAAAAATAAAACAAACAGACCTTTATTAGAATACCAGCATTTCAAAAAGGGTGCCAATAAAAGAAAAAAAATACCAAATACTTTCTGAAAAATGAAAAACAAATGAGCACAAGGTTGCCAGATATAAGAATATGTGATAATCAATTGCATTTTTAGACAAAATTAAAAAAACTGAAAATTAAATTTAGGAAGACACTTTATTATAATGGCAATAAAGAGCATAGATAAAAAGATTAATTAACCTTACAAAAGATTATAAAGCCTCTTATTGGAGAAAATATAAAATGCAGTAAATGACACTTAAAAGTTATGCATAATGGGACTGGCACTGTGATGTAGTGGGCTAAAGCTCTGCCTGTGGTGCTGGAATCCCATATGAGCACTGATCGGAAGCTCCTCTTCCGATCCAGCTCTTTGCTATGGCCTGGGAAAGCAGTAGAAGATGGCCGAAGCGTTTGGGCCACTGCACCTGTGTGGTAGACCTAGAAGAAGCTCCTGGCTCCTGGCTTCAAATTGGGTCAGCTCTAGCTGTTGGAGCTATTTGGGGCATGAACCAGTGGATGGAAGACTTTTCTTTCTATCTTTCCGTTCTGTGTCTGTAACTCTACTTCTCAAATAAATTAAATCTTTTTTAAAAAGTTATAAATAAGAAGTCAAAGTATGTTTACAGACAGGAAGAAGTAAATTTACAAACATGTTGCATCTTCCTAAAATCATCCATAAATTCAATAGAGTAAGTGTTTGGTGGAACTTATCTGGACAAGATAAAAGCAAAGAGTAGGCAGAGCAGTATTCAAAAAGAAGAACATGGGAGATAAGAGGTTAGGGAGACGATGGTCAAGGGATGCAAACTTTCAGTAAGGGGGAATAAGTGAATAGGTCAATAATATAAAGTTATGACTACAGCTATAACAATGTATTATATTGTAAAATTTTTAAGAGACTGAATTTTAAATTTTGTCACCAAAAAAAGAACAAGCATGTGAGTTTGTAATACATTAATTACCTCTATTGAGTATTACTATACAGTATACATATTCTAAAACATCATGTACATGATAAATATATAGTATTTATCATGGTTTTGTTTCCAATGATTATAAATTTTTTCATTTAAAAAAAACTATTCCATAATATAAAATGTACTATAGTTTTTGATACTTATAATCACGTATTTAAAAGAAAATTAATACATAGAATTCACAAGTAAAATAAATAAAAAGGACAAGGTGGGAGAACATGTCTTACCAATTATCAAGATTTATGAAGCCAAGAAGTCATACCAGAATAAAAAGCCTAGAAATGCCCTTGGAAATATGAAACTTTACAAATGATAAAGGTGGATTGCATATAATTCTTCTAGCCCATTAAAATAGGAATTTATATTTTTTAAGTTACTTTCAAAAATTATCAAAATTTCTATCATATTTCTATTGTTTTGATAATTCTGTACTGTTAAGTCCAAGTATAGTTCAAAATTTTCATGAAAAAAGGTAAGTTTATTTTGGTACAAAAATTTTTTAAATTCTTGCATAACTTTTTGATAACATGCATTTTCCATGATGTTACTGAAGGTTTCTCATTTACACACGGACTTCAACATTTTTAGCAACAAAATAATCTTACTTTTAAATTCCAGTTTCTGGACTGGCATCACGGCGTTAGCAGGTTAAGCCTACATTTGTGATGCCAATATCCCTTATGGGTGCCAGTTCAAGACCTGGCTGTTTCACTTTCTACCCAGATCCTTGCTAATGCACCTGGGAAAGTAGCAGAAGAAGGTCCAAGTGCTTGAGCCTCCGAACCCAAGTGAGAAACCTGGAAGAAGTTCCAGGCTCCAGGCTCCAGGCTTCAGATTGGCCCAGCTCCAGCCATTGTGGCCACTTGAGGAATGAATCAGCGGATGGAAGGCTCTCTCTTTCTTTCTCTATCCATCTCTCTCACTCCCTCCTCCCCTCCCTCCCTCTCTGTGTAACTATGCCTTTCAAATAAATAAATGCATCTTTAAAAATAAAATTTATAATGTATCAGGGCTCCATAAGTCCATTTTATATAAGACACCAAATTAGGTAAAACTTATCTATGTTATTAGAAGGCAAAAGAGTGTTTTCCTGATTTTGGGTGAGGATCTGTCAGTAGTAACTGAAAGGAACATGGAGGTAGGAGAACATCTGAGGTAACACATATATTTAGTGCTTCTTCATATAATGCTGATGGTTCCGATAATAAAATTTCATATGGCATGCATTTATGATATGAGTATTTATCTGACTGTACTTTATAGTGAGATAAAACAGATAAGGGGGCCAGCACCATGGCACAGTAGGTTAATCCTCCTCCTTCAGCACCAGCATCCCATATGGGCGTTGGTTCGAGGCCTGGCTGCTCCTCTTCTGATCCAGCTCTCTGCTATGGAAGGCAGTGGAAGATGGCCCAAGTGCTTGGGCCCCTGCACCTGAGTGGGAGACTGGGAGGAGGCACCTGGCTCCTAGCTTTGGATTGGTGCAGCTCCGGCCATTGCAGCCATCTGGGGAGTGAACCAGTGGAAGGAAGACCTTTCTCTCTGTCTCCACCTCTCACGGTCTGTAACTCTACCTCTCAAATAAATAAATAAAAATTAAAAAAAAACAGATCAGAATGGACACACACATACATTATCTACCTGTATAGTCAGCTAATTATGGTATGTATCCTTCCACAAGTCAAACTGTCAATGCTGGTAAACTTAGGGATAGAAGTAACACAGGGGCGAGTGACAGACAAGCATGGGAAGCTCAAGAGAAACTGTCTATATTTTATATATTTTTTGAAGGAACACACATTATTTGTATACTTTCAAAATAAAAAGAGAAAAAAGTCTACATGCATGACAAGTAACATTCAAGGCTTGTGACTTTAATTCAATTAAGACAATTCTATAAGGCATACTTTACCTGTGAATCTAATATGTTTGAAATTTCATGTGTATCAACATTTACTTCATCCAACTGCAGGGCAAATAAGTTTCTGGCAACCTGGACAAAATCTAAAATGGAAAACATTTCAGTAAGAACACAGCAGTTAACCTCATCTAGTAAATCTTAACACTTTTCTATGTTAAGTTGAAACTATGTATTTTATAACTAATTTTTCAAACTTAACTTACATAAATTATCTTAAAATAGCACTGGTTGAAGTTACAGGTAAATATAAGTTCAAATAAGAAGAGAGAGGAGTAGGTATTTAGTAGAGCAGTAAGAGGTCCTCATCTCCCATCAGGGTTCTATTCCTGACCCAGGCTCCCGACTGTAGTTTCCCACCAGTGCAGACCCTGGGAGGCAGCAGGAATGGCTCAAGTAATCGGGTTCCTGCCACCTACACGGGACTGTGTTCTTGGTTACTGGTTCCAGTCCATTTGCAGAGAAAAACCATCAGATAGGATCTGTCAGCCTATATGCTTCTCTCAAATAAATGAAAAAACTTAAAAAACATAAAAATGATTCTCATGAAGTGATTTAAACAGGAGATGAGAGAAACTGATTTAACTTAATTTAGGTAACTTTGCTAAAATTAATAATTCACTTCTGAAAATAAGAAAGCAAATACATTTCACAGACACTATTTAATTCCCAACTCTTGTATTATGAGAACTTTTTCTCAAACATATGACAATATTATGACTTAGGGCTTTTCAAGCTGGAAGGAGCTGAGGTTTAATAATAATAGCAGCAGCTAATGTTTATGTATAACAGCCACTGTATGCCAGCCATGATGCTCAGCAATCTCATCCTTACAATAATCTGCAGAGGGAGGGCCTCTTATTCTCTTCATTGTACAGGTGAACAGACTTGGAGCTAAGACAGGTCAACCATCTTATACTGCCCAAGGCTCCTTGGCAAATACGTATCACAGCAGTCCATGGCTTCTTCAGATATAGAAGATCTGTTCATCTATGTATTCTCAATTTTTTTTGAAGGGTCATTTTAAGTGTTCTCTGACCTTCTAGTTTAGAACACACTGGTCCTATTTTATGGATGCATTGCCTTCACTTATCTTCTTAAAGATGTTAATTATAATTATGTTAATTATAATAATGCTCTTCATTCTTTCTTTTTTTTTTGAGTTCCTTTTTTCTGTTTGATAGTTTGGGGATCTAAATTTTATGTTAGCGGATTTCTCCAAATTTTGGGGAACACCAGGGTATTAGCTTATATTTAAGAATTATTTATTAAAATAAAATAGACCAGCAATTCTGCATGCATAACTGGCCTTGTCAACTGGCAGGTTTCACACCATGACAATCAGATGGCCAGCTGACATTTTGTTGAGTTTTTTAAGAGAAAAATCTCGAATCTCCTGATTATATGTCTAAACTTGGATTTCACTGAGTGATCGTGGTGTGTATTATAAGTAGTGACTCCCCATATACTTCTCCAAACTCCCTTGCTGCTGGCAACTATAGGTCCATAATCTCTCTTGTGGGGAGCAACTCGGACTAGACTGTTACTGGAATTAAGACTTATTCTATGCATCTGCTCTCCCACAATATGGCGCTGAGAAGGGAGTAACAACTTCTACGCAGCTGCCTCTCGCCAACTTGAGTGATGACCTGCAGGAGCTGATCCTGCTCCTGATTGGAGGAGAGCAGCGTACTCGGCGTGTGGGTAGCAGAGTTGGGATTGCTGGAAGAGGACTATAAAGGAGGAGAGAGACAACATGCACCAGGAACATCTATCTGAAGGAACACCTGTGCAGCCCCCGAGAGAGCCGGCTGGCGGTGTGCCGCTCCCCCGCGGAAGTGGGGAAAGTGGCAGGGGGAACCCCCCTTCCACGGAGGTGGAAGGGTCGGTAGCCAACCCGGGAAAAAACAGCAGCAAACCCAGGAAGGGCCGAGCAGACAAAAGAACAGCGCAGGGTCCTGTGTCGTTCCTCTGCGAAGAGGGGGAGCGACATAATGGTGCCGTGACTCGGATATGAAGCCTAGGCAGGGTTTAGTGTCGTTCTTCCATGAAGAGGGGGAGCGACATCTCTGGTTTAGTTTCTCAAGGAAACAAACTTCTTTTTTCCTGGAGATGTGAAGGAGTGGTAGCTGCTGGGCTGCTTTAGAATGGGCAGGGAAGAACACGTATAACTCTCCTTAAAAAGATTTTCTACAATCTTGGTTTAAACGCCTTGCCTAAGCAGTCTGCAGAAACACCAGATCCCTTCAGTTCCTAAGGGTCAGATCACCTCTCACTGGGATTTATCTTTTCAGATACTGGACTTTACTTGCCTCAGTTCAATCATTTGTTTACTGCTCTTTCCTCATTTGCCTTCTGTCCTCAGATATTATAGTTGGATTTATACATATATTTCTGTTTCTTACTATTATTATTTTAGGGTGATTTCTCAAGAGGAGATGGGACCAAAATTATGCTATCATCATCACTTGAAACCAAAAGGTGAATTTTCTTTCATTTTTTTAAGCAATATAGATGCTTTTAAAATACCATCTGCATTTCCTACATAAAAATTAAATATTCAATGGTGGTAGGGAAACCAAAAATTGTTACATTCAAATATTATTGATGTAAGAACAATAGATATGTAAAATATCTCTGTAAAATGATTTATCAATAATTGTCAAAAATCCAAATCATTTATTTATGTGATTTATTCTAGGAAAGAAGGCAAACGCGACTATTCACAATGGCAATACAGATTTGTAATGTCAGTTACTGAAAAACCATCAAAATTGACAAAAGTAGAAAGATGAAATATTATAGTATGTCAACTAAGTGACACATTATGCTGTTAGTAAGAATAATTAAGTATCATAAAAATATTTATATCATATTAGCTGTAAAAAGAATTAGAACTAATCTCACAGTAGCAAAAGTAGGATTTTTATATTTTCTACTGGTTCTTTGGTTATTTCTAAAGCAATGTTTACCACTTCTCGGCCTTTTAACTAAGATCAATGTAAAGCAATGTTTATGAATTAAATAAAAATATGACAATGATATTTCAGAGGTAGAAGTTTCTAATAAAGTTATCCTTTCTGCTGACCCATCTAGACTAGAAATCCTAGTTGAGATGCAGTAGTTTCGAATAAGGAACCTGAAGCAGATGTGGTTTACTTTTCATTCTCTCCTTCTAAAGAACAGGCATTCTTAATGAAAATGGGTAACTCTTGAACCAAGCTTCTGTGATAACATGATAAACCTAATGTTACCTCCAAAAGACACTGTCCCCTTTGCGTCTGCTTGTACTTGCTCTCTCAGGGCTTGCTGCTGTTCCTTTGTGGGCTGAATGCCAAGATAATTTAAAGCCTGGAAGGAAAAGGACTCATGTGAAGTGATTTTTTCCAATCTCTAAAGAATAAAACTTCTCATTGCAATGTTATTTTACAACCCAGTGAAAAAATCATCAACATCAAGAGCGCTAACCAGGGCTGGCGCCGTGGCTCACTTGGTTAATTCTCCACCTGCGGCGCCAGCATCCCATATGGGCGCCGGGTTCTAGTTCCGGCTGCTCCTCTTCTGGTCCAGCTCTGCTGTGGCCCGGGAAGGCAGTGGAGGATGGCCCAAGTGCTTGGGCCCCTGCACCCATGTGGGACACCGCGAGGAGGCACCTGACTCCTGGCTTTGGATCGGCATAGCTTTGTCCGTGGCAGCCATTTGGGGAGTGAACCAACGGAAAGAGGGAAGACCTTTCTCTCTGTCTCTCTCTCTCTCACTGTCTGTCAAATTAAAAAAAAAAAATGTGGAGGATTCTGATTAAAAAAAAGAGCACTAACCAACATTAGATGCCCAATGAAAGTCTGTTGAAAATTTATGGATTAATTACCCATAAGAGATTAGCTTCCCAATTCTATCACCAAGTCAATTTTTTTCAATGCAAATATTGAAATACCTAGTTTTATAAGCATAGCTCCAGAATAAAAAATCATTATTTCTTTGTATGTATGGGTTGGCAGAAGAAAAATTCCAAGAGAGTCCTACTAAATCTGATTTATGAGCAAAACTCAAAAACATGAAGAATATTTGATTATCATCTTGTCTTCAAGAGAAAAACTGAGGGAGAGGAGAACTTAGTCAAAAATAAAATATTCTAATTTATGGCTTGATAGGGACAGACTTACAGAAATAGTAAACTAAAAAGCTTTTTCTAGTACCCATATCTTCCTTTTGTCAGGTTCATTCTTTATGGATAATCCAACTTCTCCTTTTAGTACACACGACTGATGAAAACTTCAGGGACAGCCGGTCATATTTCAATGTCTATCCTCTTCTTTAGCCGTAGAACCAACCACGGTGTTCAGTTAGAAACAGTCATCCACCCAAAGGTATTTTCTAGTACCCTTTTGTAGCCTGTTCAGGCTGTGTACTAACCAGGGGTGGGAACCGTTTTTCTGTCAAGGGCCATTTAGACATTTTAACACCATTTGTGGGCCATACAAAATTATCAACTTAACAATCAGCCTGTTATAGAATTATTGAATTTCAAGTCCCACCTGTGGTTGCCTTGACAAGGCCAAACCAAATGATTTAGCAGGCCTCATGTGGCTCATGGGCTGGATGTTCCCCACCCCTGCTGGGGAAGCTCTATTCAAAAGCAGGGATAAGTACTTTCTCTGTTTTAGCTTAACAGGGTTGGGGAGGGGCAGAAGGGAGAGAGGGACATGGGGGAAGAGAACAAGAAAAGAAGACATAAGGAAGAAAAGAGTGCTGGAACTGGAGGAGTCACCTTGCTTTGTGAGGTATCTCAACAAAGATGGGAAAACACAAAGCTGCCTGGAACAGGAGTCCCTGACACTGTACAGCCTTCATGCCAGCCCTGAATCACATTTTTTTCCAGGCTTCTTTTGATGTGAAAGAAATAATTTTTTAAAAAATATTTATGTATTTATTTATTTTTGAAAGGTAGAGTTACTGAGAGATAGAGGGAGAGACAGAGTTAAAGAGATGTCTTCCAACCTCTGACTCATTCACTAAAGGCCTGCTGGGACTGGGCTAGGCTGAAGCCAGGAGCCAGGAGCTTCCTCTGGATCTCTTATATAGGTGCAGGGGGCCCAAGTACTCGGGTCATTTTCCACTGCTTTCCCAGAATGCATTAGCAGGGAGCTGGGTCAGAAGTGGAGCACCCGGGACTCAAACCAGCACCCATGTGGGACCCACTACACCACAATGCTGGCCCCCAAAAGAAATAGATTTCTAACAGAAAGCACTGCTACTTTGGGTTGTTCAGTTATATATAGAAAATCAAATTCTTAACTAATACATAAAGACCAACCGAGTGCCTTAGTATTGGACTTCAGCAAGAACATATACAGTGACAATCACACAAAAACTAAAATGCAGGGACCAGAGTAGTGGTGCAGTGGATTAAACCGCCACCTGCAATGCTGTCATCCTAAAGGGGTGACAGTCTGAGTTACACCTGCTCCACTTCTGATCCACCTCCTTGGTAATATACCTGGGATAGCAGAAGAAGATGGCCCAAATACTTGGGCCCCTGCACCCTGTAGGAGAGCTGGAAGTAGCTCCTGTCTTCTGGCTTCCAATTGGCCCAACCCAGGACATTGGGACCATCTGAGGAGTGAATTAGTAGATGGAAGATCTCTCTCCATCTCTTCCTCTCTCTTTACAATTCTGCCTTTCAAATAAACAAACATTTTAAAATAAGAAAATACTAAAATGCAGGCAAAGTTCAATATTAGTTATTGTCCCCTGCAAATTTCTCCCTCCTTCAGAATCTGTTCAATCATTCATCATTTCATCTACCAAGTTGTTTCTTATGTGTTTATTTTCTCAGGCACAAAACTGTACCAGGGGACAGACAAACAAGATATAGTCTATGTCCTAAAATAACTTATGGTCTTAAGGATAAGAATAATATATAGATATAGTAAGTGGAATATGTAATGTAAAGGAAACATGTGCAGAGTATACAATGGCAAAATGCAACTTGTTAATGCATAGGTATACAATGTGATGAGGTGTAAAGGGAGAATACCAGGAAAGACTCTTTTGAAAGTGATTCATAAATTTAGTCAGCATGATGTTTCTACCCTTTCTAAATTGTAAGTATTTCCCTCGTGTAACATAAAATAATGATTTTAGCTTTGATGTGTATGTATGTTTTTCCTTCAGTTATAAAAATGGTCCAAAGATACAAAGAAAAACAATACTCACTGCTGTCAAATACTCATTGACATTTGTCTATTCTGGAAATTTCATATTAATGTAGTCATACATTTTGTGGTTTTTTGTGTTTGGCTTTTTCCACTAAGCGTAATGGTTCAAGGTTTACTGATGTTGTAGCATGTATCAAAACTTCATTCCTCGTATGATCTAATAATACTTCATTGTATGGATATACTACATTTACTTTATTTATTAGTTTATGGACATTTGGGTTGTTTTCACTTTTGGTTATTATGAAGAATGCTGCTATATTCATTTGAGCAACAGTATTTGTGTGGACACGTTTTCAATTCTTTTGGGTTTACACCTTAAAGTCCAATTGCTAGGTTATACAGTAATACTATGTTTAACTTATTGGGGCTTTGTCACATTATTTTCCAAAGCAGTTGTATCAATTTACATTCCCTCTAGCAATGTATAAAGGTTTCAATTTCTGCACATCCTCATCAGCACTTGCCATTGTCTTCATTGGGTATCTGGGTACCTTCTTTGGAGAAATGTCTGTTTATATCCTCTGTATATTTTTAAGCTGTGGTTTAAAAAATATTTTAAAGAATCATTATATATCCTGAATACAAGTGCTTTATCAGATCCTTGATTTTCAAATATTTTCTCCCTTCATGGGTCATATTTTCACTTTCCTGATGGTGTCTTTTGATGTGGAATTTTTTCTTTAATATTAACATTAATAAAGTGTATTTTATCAAAATTTTTACAGTTTTACTTCTCACACTTAGGTTTATGATACATTTAGAGTTGATTTTTGCATATGCTGGGAAGTCAGGTTCCACATTCATTGTTTTACATGTATATATCCTGTAGTCAGAGTACAATTTAGTGAAAAATCTACCTGTTCTCTATGGAATTACTTATATCCTTGTTAAAAATCAGCTGCCTACAAATGTACACAATAATTTCTGGTATCTCAATTTTGCTCCATTCACCTATATTTCAATTTTAAGCAATAGCACACTATCTGTATTATTACAGCTTTATAATAAGTTTTAGATCAGGAAATATAAGTTTTTTTTCAACATTTGTAAATTATTGAAGGTCTTCTGCACTTCCATATTAATTTTATGATCAGTTTGTCAATTTCTGAAATAAAAGAGCTTATATTAAGTGTTGTACTGAATCTGTATTTCAATGTGGAGGCTACCACCTCTTAATAATTGTTAGTAGATTCCTGATAATAATATATCTTTTCAATTATTTAGATCTTTAATCTCATTCAACAATGTTTTGTCATTTTCAGTGTATAAGTCTGTGTTGTTAAAATTCATTCTCAATTATTTTATTCTTTTAGATATTATGATGAGCATGCTTCCTTTAATTTCATTTTTAGATTGCTCACTGTTAGTGTACAGATACACAATTTGACTTGGGTTGTTGTAACCTGGAACTCATTTTTAGTTGTAGCTGTATCTTAGCAGATTTGTTAGAATTTTCAAAACACAAGATTGTACCATCTGGAAGTAGAGATTCCTTTATTTCTCCTGCCCAATCTAAATGCCTTTTATTGCTTCTTTTTCTCAATTATCCTGGCTAGAATCTATGGCACAATGCTGAATAGAATCAGTAAGCATGTATCTTTGTCCTGTACCAAATGTTAGGGGAAAGCATTCAGACTTTCATTATTAAGTATGATTTTAGCAGAAGGGGTTCATAAATACCCTTTATCAGACTGAGATTGTTTTCTATTTATGGTATGTTATATTAATTATTATATATTAAACCAACTTTGTATTCTTGGAAAAACTTCTACTTGGTAATATAATCCTTTTGATATGTTGCTGGATTTAGTTAGCTTTTTGTTGAGGACTTTCACATCTACAACCATAAGATTTATTGTTCTATAGCTTTGTTTTTTCCTTTTGATGTTTTTGTCTAACTTGAGTGTCAGGGTAATATTGGCCTCATAGAATGAGCTTGGAAGTATTCTATATTTTTTGAAAGAGTTTGTAAAAGATTGATGCTAGCTCTTTTTAAAATGTTTGGTATTTTAAAATTTGAAATCATCTGCGGCTGGGTTATTTTTTGTGAGAAGTTTTTGATTGCTAATTCAATCTCTTTACTTGTTATAGGTCTACTCAGCTTTTCTACTTTAACTTGAGTCAGTTTTG